TCCAAAAACGTAGATGTTCACAGTGTACATGACAATTGAGCGATAGATAGTTTTGTTCGCCTTTTAAAGCTGCATCGAATGGTATATAAGACTTTCCTTTAAACCTGTTTTAATCTGAGAAAAATACGAAAAACACATCGCAATGGGCTCGCGGAGCTATTGGTCAAAGCTGACCGATTTTCTCACAGATATCAAGTCCGAAGGGAAACCAAGGGTCTGGAACACCATAAAATCACATGCTCTTTCATTGTTTTCGAAAATTATATATTTTTTTCGTTGTCTGTAACCCTCACAATCGCCAATGTGCACATGTTCTTGTATGACCGTCCCATTGCAAAAAATGATTAAAAGGCAAGGAGGCTTGTATTATCGGTATATCGATGATATTTTTATGACGAGTACAGCCACTCCAGAGAAAATCAAAGACTGGGTTCGCCATTGGAACCGTCTAGTCTCGAATATTCAGCTGACTGCACAAATCAGTCAGACTGTCGATTTTCTTGATCTTCATATCGGAAATAAAAATGGAGTCCTTGAGACGAGTGTCTTCACAAGCCCTCTCATGAGCCCTACTAGTTACCTTTTTCAAGTACTCATGCGCTACACATCAAAAGGAATATTCCCTTTGGAGCCTTAATACGTGCGATTAGGTATTCATCGACCTTTGAATTGTTATCGAAAGAAGAGGCATATATAAAGATGGCCCTCCTTTTGAATGGATGTGAAATAGAATTCATTCAGACGCAATTCAAAAGAGTTTTCGAAAAATATTCAATACAGACCCCGAATTCAACTAATTTTTCTCAGATTCGAGAGGTTCTGTTTCAGAATTTTTTCTATACCAGAGATCAAAAAATTGCTAAAATTGATTATGAGACCTCGATGCTATTTCATTTCACGTTCTGTGAGGGAATGGAGAATTTTGCGTCTCATTTCCATCGTTTATGGAAACAGCATTTTGCGGAGACACCCCTAGGATCTATTTCTTCTATTGTAGGTGTCCGCAATGCTCCCAATTTGCAACAAAGACTAGTTAAGAAGAAGCCGGCATCAGGCCTCATCCGATAGAGTAAGATGTCCTCATATTTCTTTTTTTTTTCAAAAAAACTAGCCCTTTTTCATTTTGGTTGATTTCATACCTGGTTACCCACGCGTCTTACGGCCGATGGCTGCGGTGGACCGGAAGATGACCCCTTCTACCAAACGAGAAAATTGAGAATTCTACCCACACGAATGTAAGTTCGCCAGAAATTCTGAACGTTTTGCCGTAAATTGGCAGGACCGGTTCGCTCACACTCACTGTGTGAGTCCATCCCGACCTTGAGTGTAACGAATCAACTGCTCAACTCTGACTCGAGTGTCGATGACGAAGGTGACAATGATTGACCGTATGCGTGATTCGCTATCTTTCCGTGTCACTCGGACAGATAGAATGGCATTAGCAGTCAACGGTGACACATTCAGGATGTGCAGGTCTGAGTCGAAATTCACCGACTGACCCGATTGCTAGTGGTCGAACCTTCGTCAATTCGGCGTACAAGCAGAATTTGATAATTCGACCCTCAATCGGTCATCCGTCGTCACGTTCAGTGGCACTAAAGCACTTACTTCGGCAGCAACTACCCGATCATGCACCAGAACGTCCGACAAAGAGTACTCTACACCGCCGGGGACGTCAGCGGCTAAGGAAATCGAAACAGAATAATCGGAGAAGAGAGAAGGAATAATATAATATCACGTGGAGCAAGAGAACAAATATCAATGGCTCCTAGTCACATCAAGGATCACGGTCATTATGACGGTGGCAACTCATGATGTGTATCTCTGGTCAATATGAATCTCCGATAAACTATAAAGATGAAGAAACATTTGTCGATGAACGTGGCCGTTCATCTTTTTCGATGGGGGAGATGTTATGTCTAGAGACCTAGAACATAAGAATGATGCAACAACATGTCATCATCCAATAGCAAGGTCATCTTAGGACCTCGATAGGATTCAAGATGATGCAATATCTAGGTCCATTACACATGGCGTCAGATCTTCTTTAAATATTTTGATGATGCAGTAGATCACTATATAAACGCCTGTGTTCATATATTAGAATGTGTTTTTAGTCTTTTCATTTTCTTCAAAATAAACATTTATGGTGACAAAAATCTAGTAGTTCTTCCGCGTAAAGGAAGATAACAATTGGTGCACTAGCCGGTGTTAACAACAAGTATTGGCTATGAGTTTATGGTATTGACTAGAATACAACAACAATAAAAAAGAAACATCGAGTGTTGCAGGAAAAAGATGGAGCTCTGGTGAAGGTACATCCCGTTTTTCAAGAGAACAGATGAAGATCTTATGTAGAACGAGTTGTTACGGAGAGACATCGAGTTTTTCGCGAAAGATGATTTAGGGTTTGGTTGAAAACAGCCAGTTTTTTAAGGTAAAAAGATAGAGATTTTCAGGAAATGAGGTGGAATTGCTGTAGAGAAACATTGCTCATGAAAAAAGATGAAGACGGAGTTCTTGTTAGGAAACACGGAGTTGTTAATAACCCTATAAGTCCCAATGTCCACTGGGATGGACGTTCGTAAATTTGATTTATATAAGTAAGGAAACATAAGATCAAAGCTAATTCTATACCGGTTGCAGTAAACTCCATGCACTATTGATTAGCAAAAGAAAAATTTTTTTGGTTGCGTTTTAGCAAATATACGAATAATGCAAAAGGTCGGATATATGAAAAATTGAAACAAGCAGTTACTCGAATAGCTGCAAGGGCATGATATATTTTCCTTTAGAAGTACACTTAATAATTATTGGTGTGGGGTGTTCTCTTTATGATTATATTGCTGAAAACAGAAATTATGAAGCAGATTAAATAAGAATAGTCACAGAGTACAATGTCCACTGGAATGGATATTGGGTCTTAACGGACATGGTTTTCGTTTCACTCAGGGACATCAAAATCGGCTCATTTCCACCAGTCAATTTACTAATCACTCAACAAAGATGTTCTTAATGAACGAAAGAGTAGCTGAGTTTGACATTCTTTATGTTTCGTTTATTTTCTACAGTACGTATCTTTCTCGCATAAAAACTCTTAATAGAAAAGGCCATGTGTAGTTTACTTTTTCTCTCTCTGACTATTAACAACACACAGTAGAAAGAAGAATGACATATTTTATTTTTATCGTATTTACCACTGTACAGTAGTCATATTGTACCTAAAGTTAACGATACGCACATGTTCTCCTCTCGAGATGCGTGTATTGAGTGACTGGTGTGAATTGTCTTAGCATCTTCTAATATTCAGTAACAAAAAAAGTATACTTTTAAAAAATAAACAGTACTATACGCATTGTTATAGGTCTTCATATTACTTCATATATATATATATCATGGCATCGTCTTCGGACGATGATAATGTTTATTACGCATTAGGATCACAAGCAGGTGCAGCTAATTATGATGATGGTGTTGATGAAGAGAGTGAGGATGATGGTGAGGTAATGGAGTCTAATTCAGAAGATGAAGGTTCAGCAACATCCGATATAGAGAATGATACATTTGTTGATGACAAACATCAAAAATGGAAAAAGGGTTCAATCAAATCAAAGGTGCCAGAATTTGATAGCAAAGTTGATTTAATAGTTGATTTACCAAAAGATCCTCGTCCATTTGATTATTTTCGTTTATTTTTCACGTCATCTATGATTAAATATATTATCGATCAATCAAACTTGTATCGCACTCAACAGCAACTGCAACAGGAGCCAATGAATGAACAAGATCTATTTTCTTTTCGATTGAAGAAGTTTATTTGATTTCAAAATTGAAATAGCTCGTATATTAATGCAACGCCCAATATTGTCACATATCGAGAATAAAAGACGAATCTGTAGTAATAAAAGATGTCTTTCAAATGAATCTGATGAACAAACAAGCGATGATGGCAACGAAATACCCCAGAAAAAAGCTCATGAATATAAGAAAAATGTTCATCCAACAACCAGATTTGGGGATGATCATTGGCCAAAGTTTAAGGAAGCAGTGAATTCATCACGTTGTAAAAATAACAACTGTCAACAGAAAACAAAATGGGTCTGTAGCAAATGTGAGATTCATTTATGTTTGACCAGTAATCGAAACTGTTTTTATGATTACCACCAAAAGAAATGATCGAAGCTGTTCATTTTATACCGGGATAATAACAAAAACACTCTAGAATGACGTTGCTTTTGTTTTGTTATTGCTTTATCTTAGTTGTTTAAAACAGGCATCATCAGAAAATAAAAATAATACTTTTTATGAAATTTAGGAAACCGTGTCCGTTAAAGCGTAATGTCCATTCTAGTGGACATTGTGCTGATACACCAACTAACGGTATCACTCCAAGTCACTATTAAACATGTGATATTGAAGCTTCATATGCTCCATTTCAGGTGTCGGTTCGGTCGCTGCTATGCTGGAAAGAGTCTGGGTTTTAAAGGGTTAAAGAAAAAGAACGGAGTTCTTTCAAGGAAGGAGTTCTTGTGCTGCTCTTGCGCTGTTGGAGAAACGGTGTGTGCAGACTGGGCGATTGTATTATAGCCAATGCACTAATCATATGCATGATCGACTCCTTGTGATGGCGTTCTTGCAGAGATGGGCGAGTACACGGATTTCTGAGTACGAGTACTGAGGGTCACGTACGAGTAGGAGTAAGAGTATTTTCTGAAAAGTACTCGGTTCTACTCGAGTATAAAATTTTTCTAAAGAAGCCGATGATTCCGGAAAAATCGATTTTTTGACACGTAAACAGTAAAAAAAATGTCACTGGTTTTTTCGGAAGTACTCGAGTATTTGTTGGAATACTCGTTCAAAGAAGTCCCTAGTACAGAGTATGAGTACTATTATCCATTTCACAAAAAATCCATCTTTTTTCCTCCAACGCTCGATGTTCCTAAACAAGAACTCTGACTTTTCTTCTGAAAAGCTCCATCCTTCTGAACACGAAAGCCGTTTCCAGAAAAAGTGGACGTTTCTTCACAAGATCTCAATTTTTCAGCGAAGAAGATGGAGCGCTTGTGAAATGTGTTTACGTCAAGTCAAGAAGCATGGAATTTCAAGGAAAAAGAACAGAAAAGAGCTCTTACCAAGGAGCGTGGGGTTTTGAAGTTGACTTCTTCTGAAGGAAGATCCAGTTTTTCAGAAAGAATAACCGCGGTTCTTGCAAAGAAACATTTTACGTACCGTTTTATACGTAACTTGTATCCTTCTTTGTGTCAGTGTCAACGATGAATTATGTTTTCATATTTTATTAACAAACATATTTACATCAGAGAATGAGATTTCTACGCTTCCTAACAACATGTTGTTTCTTTCACGATAGAAGATGCAGTTCTAGTCAAGAAGCATCCAGTTTTTCGGGGAAAAAGACCGAGTGTTTGTGAAGCAACATCCACTTTTTCAGGAAAACAGATTGAGATCTTGTGAAGAAGATCTTCTGGAAACGACTTTCGTGTCCAGAAGGATGGAGCTTTTCAGAAGAAAAGTCAGAGTTCTTGTTTAGGAACATCGAGCGTTGGAGGAAAAAAGATGGATTTTTTGTGAATAAACAACGAGTTAAAAAAGTCGAAGGTCCTGTGGCGAAACATCGAGAAGCATCGAGTTTTTGGATGATAAAGATGGAGTTGTTGTTGTGAAGAAACATCCAATTTTCCCGGGAAATAGACGGAGTTCTTATTCAAAACGTCAAGCATTTAAGTAGAAAAAGAGGGATTTCTTATGAAGAAATATAGAGTTTTTTAGGAAAGAAGATGGAATTCTTGTTCTGATTAGGAAGGATCAAGTTTTGGAGTGAACAAGATGGGGTTCTTAAGATCAAACATCCAGTTTTCTCGGAAGAAGGACGGAGTTCTTGTCAGGAAGCATCGAGTTTTTGAGGAAAGAAGATGGCGTGCTTGTGTAGACGCATCCATTTTTTGAGGAAAAGGTAGGGAGGCCTTGCAAGAAGTATGGAGTTTATAAGGAAAAAGGACGGAGTTCTTGTGAAGAAAATGGAGGGAGTGTTTGTAGAGCAACATAGAGTTCCTCACAAAAAGAGTTGAAGTTCGGGTCAACAAACATCGAGTTTTTCAAGAAAAAAACGAAGTTCTTCACAAGAATATGGCGGGTAAATGAATTTTATCCATACATTGGATGCATGTTTGACAAAACTAAAGATTAAATTAGGCGTCGTATTATATTCCTTCGATTGTTGAAGATAGTGGATTTTAGGTGGTTGGATTTCAAACAGACTTGATCGAAAAAACCCGAATCTAAGTCTGCAGAGCCTCAAGCCCAGTTCCGTCAAAAAATGCTTCACTTGGACTTGCGTTCCTCTGCAGCAGCTACTTTCGAATGAATTATTTATTGATAGTTCGACCTTTCGAACATCATAGATTATTCCAGGTGATAATTATGTAGGTACAAGTGTAGTAAAATATCGGTTCTGTTTTAAGACTATTCTAACAACTGTAATGCATCTAACGAATGTTGTTCATGGCTGAATGATGATGACTTTGAAAACAGCAGATGTAATAGAGCATTGAACTGTGCATCCATCTTTCTTATAGTTGCCTCCTCAAATAAATCAGAATCATAGTCCCATACAAGAGATAATTCATGTTTTTTGCCATTTGATGAAACATTGTGTTTGATACCCAATACATGATTCAACGTGGATATTTGAGGCTCAAGAAGAATATCATAACATATTTTACAAACAGAATCACCTAATGAAACGAAATCAACTTCTGTGGAATTATTATCGTACTTAAACACTACCTGATCTAATGGTGGAGTACTTCGTCTTTCGCCGCCACTTATTTTAAAAATGTCGATAAAGGGTAGTCTTGAATGTTGCACAACCAACAAACAAATATGCTGCATTTTTAACAATAAACGTTTGAATGTAATTTGAGGATCAATTCCTAATCGATATGGAACAAAATTAACAAACGTCCCAATGATATTTTCTATCTCTGGACGATAGCGATTTGCAGCTAATCCACTTATAATCACATCGTTATCATTTGTTGTTTTGTATATGAATAAATGGTAACAAGTTAGTAATAACTGAAACATAGTAACATTGTAATATTTGGTGACGCTTACCATCCTCTCGACGAGCTCATTATCAAACAACCGAAAGACATGTCCACCATTACCGCTGCGTGTTGATTGTTCGATTACTTCAGGATGGTCATATGATAGTGAATGGGGTTTATCAGTTGCAAATCCTTCAAATGTCTCTTCCCAGTACTTTCTTGCTTTATTCATATCGGAATCAGGTGAAGGATCATCATACATTCGTCTTTCGTGTATCGAATAATCAATGTACTGCAACGAATCACTGTTATCAGTTTCACAAAACATTTCAATGGGATTTTTATAGGCTGTTTCTAGATCTTTAAAAAATGGTATAATCGAACTTCCATCGAAAGCCACATGGTCAATATTGACTATAATCATGTCATTCTTACCTAACACGTCTTCACTGACATCGTCACTTCCGACACTGTTTATTTTAATAATATGACATCGCAACACAATACCTAATTCGGAGTTAAAATGAGGCTTACTCAGTTCACTTAGCAGAATTCTGTCAAAATCTCCTTCGCATAAAATTCTACTTATTTCAAACTGATAATAATCATCATGTTCTATTGTTATTATTACTCCAGGCATTGGCTTGACGTACTGTTTTAGACATTTTTCATTCACAGAAAATATTAGTTTTGTTCTTAATACAGTATTTTTCTTAATTACAGCCAATAACGCTAGACGAAATCGATGAACGGAAACAGTGTTATTCATCACTTTTAATACAAGAGGAATGTTATACACAGCAGGAGCCTTCGAGCCGAATCGTCCTTTCTCCTCAAACCAGGCCATAAACTGAGAAAACGACGCCTGACCTAAAAAACAAATATACAACCGCATCTATAACCGAGACTTCTCATAACCGATCAACTTCTGTCATTCTACAAACCATGAATATTCTGATGCAGAGTATTCGCTCTCAAATTTATGTATGTCTCCAACAAATAAGTAGATGGATATCTGACTTTCCAATGATCACTACTGGGAAAAAAATCAAGTCATGCCTACCTTCCGTAAGATTCAATGGTTGCCATTGTTTGGATTTCAACAGCATTCGCTGTTGCTCATTATCATTGCTATTGATCAAGACCAGTCGCGCATGTTGCTGAATTGTTGGCTGTTGAAACAGCGTTGAAATATTTAAGTTTTGTTGAACGAAATGTGTTTGATAATAGTTCATAAGTCTCATCAAGATCAAAGAATTGCCGCCTATTGAAAAAATGTTTTCTGTCGTGGATATTTTATCTATATTTAATAATTCACACCACACGCGATGAATTTCTTGTTCCTCATCGGTTTTCGGTTCGGCATAGTCATTATTGTGTTGCATTTGCGAAAAATCGACTTCTGGTAACCGTTTACGATCAATTTTTGAGTTTTCATTCAATGGTAATTGTTCTAGTAGAACGACAATAGAGGGCACCATATATGAAGATAAATGAGACTGGCAATATTGTTTCACATGATTTTGAATATCTTTGCTCTCGGTTTGTATATAGGCCGCTAAATAATCTTGATCCGTTTTATCATCATGCACTTTGATCACAACACAGTTTGCAACAAAAGATGATGATTTCATTATGCAACTTTCAATTTCATTCAACTCAATTCGTTGTCCTCTCAGTTTCACTTGATAATCAATTCGTCCACAATACACTAGATCGCCATTTCCATTAAATCTACCTAAATCACCCGTTCG